TCTTTTCCACCATCTCTACCCATTCCCACCACATCTGTGAGAGCCAGAACATTCTTCCCAGATCCCCAGGGAGCATTAACCTGTCTGAAAAGCATTTTAGATCTCTATTACATCACTTAACACCTGCTGATTTTAATCTCTTTGGGGCCAAAACCAAGACTCAGTCTTCCCCGCAAAAGGCTTGGTAAACTACCTGATTGATACCTGGTAGTCACTCAAACATTTACCATCCCAGACCAGAGCTCCCTAGGGCTAAGAGTTCTCCTTTTTCCATTCCCCAGCAGCCAGGACTTCAAGCCTATAAGGCTTCCTATTTTTATCCCTTTCCTTTCAATCCCTGGCCGCCCCATTTCTTTTTTTTTTTCTTTTTTCTGCGGTACGCGGGCCTTTCACTGTTGTGGCCTCTCCCGTTGCGGAGCACAGGCTCCGGGCGCGCAGGCTCAGCGGCCAGGGCTCACGGGCCCAGCCGCTCCGCGGCATGTGGGATCTTCCCGGATCGGGGCACGAACCCGTGTCCCCTGCATCGGCAGGCGGACTCTTAACCACTGAGCCACCAGGGAAGCCCCGCCCCATTTCTTAAGAGGCGAAAGGATTCAGTATAAAGAACACACAATGCGGAATCGGAAAAACTGAGTTTGTGCCCTGACTGCTACACTTTTTCTGTGTGTACACTGATACATCTCCCTTTTCCAGGGACTCCATATGCCCATCTGTAAAATGGGCAGGTTGAACTAAGTCTCATGGATCTTGCCTCCTCTCCGACGGAGCTAAGCTGGGCCTGGTTATCTCCTACGGTCCCCACAGCCAGGGTTAGGCCCGCTCCACTCCCAGGCTGCACACACTCCTGGGCACTGCATCCTTACCTCCCACTCCCAGGTTGACCTTGCGAGGGTCCGGATCCTCCCGGAAGTCAGCAGTGAGCTTAAAGACAAGGACCGGCTGGGCCTGAGGAACCTCGGCAAAGATTGATGGAGGCGCCATAGCTAGAAAGCTGGAGTCGGCCGAAAGCTTCCACTCTGCGCTTGAAGCCGCTCGGTCCGGTCCAACCGCGGCGACTGGAGGAGACTCTCACCTTCACCTAGCCGGCAGGGGCGGGCCCACAGCCTCCAATGGTCGAGCCGCGTCCGGAACTTGGCAACGCGGTTAACCAATCGCGAGCTTCTGACGCAAAAGGAACAGGATGCTATTAGCCAATCCAAGAAGAGAATCATATCGGAGGCCGGTATTGATGCAACCAATGCAACGTACGCCGGCTGGGATGGGGCGGGGATAGAGTTGATTGGCAGAGCGTGCTCCTATCGCTGAAGCCGTTGTTCCTTGGGTCGCTGAGGGGAGGAGATGAGCGGCGTACGCGGGAGGCAGCTTTCTCGACCTTCAGGCCCCCGGAGACAAGCTGGAGGTAGCTGGCGGGAGGTAGCTGGCGGCAGGTAGCTGGAGGACCGGCCTTCCGGTACCCGCGGAGCTGGTGTTCTCCCTGCCAGGCCCGGGAGTGCGCACGTTCCTGACCCAGTCTGGCCCGGCTCGGGCTGGCAGCCAAATCCGCCTCTGCGCACGGGTAGTGAGTCCTCGGCCAGGACGCGCAGCTCCGGAGCCCGCGCGGACGACCTTGACCATCTCGGCCGGCTGTTTCCCCCTGAGAGAAATGTGGGTGGGCCACCTGCCTTGGTTTCAGACAGGGGGCCATCCTACTAAAAGAGGAAGTGTCCAGGAATTCCTTTCTGCCGCTCTTACAGTTTGAAGCTTTTGCTCCCCTTTACTTACCGAGAGAGCTTGGTCCTCACGGACCTTACGGATCTGGGCGCGGCCTCCCCCTCCAGCTTTTCTCCCACGCAGGCACTCAACCAGATCTTGCTGTCGTCAGCGGACCTCCCCAGCCCCTCTCTCCATCTGTTGACCTTCGAGATCCAGAGCAAATGCCTCCTCCCTAAAGCTTTGCCTTAACCCTCACTCTGGTTAAAATCCCTCTCTCTTTCCTGTGCTTCTGTCCTTTGTTGGCAATATTACAGTTGTAGAAAGTGACCAAAATGCCCAGTTAAGAACCTAGTTCTGGAGCCAGACTACCTAGGTTTAGATTGTAGTGCTACCACTTACTAACTTGGTCAGGTCTAGGCAAGTTACTTAACCTCTCTGTTCCTGCTCCATAAAGTGGAGATAATAGTACTTTTCTTAGGGTCGTTGTGGGGATTATGTGAGTTAATACATATGAAGTGTTTAGTTGCATATAGTAAGCAAAAATGGTAGCTATTGTCATCATTGTACAGATGCACACCCCTTGTAGATGGTAAACTTCCTTTGGCTAGAGATCTTAACCCTGTATTAGTCTCCCTTAGTTTCTTGCACTTAGTAAGTATTCAATAAATGGTGGCAGGAGGAGTCAGTTCTGTTGATTCAGAAAAAAGCAGTACCTCTCTGTTCATTGGATAATATGACAAATCTCAAAATGTATCTTTCATTCAGAGTAACAAACATAAGCCAAAAGTCCTTTGTGCAACACCTGCCAACCTTTGTACCATTTGCTTCTTTTCAGAAACAGCCTCTGGTTTTAAAGATAACTGTCAACAGTGTTTCATTAACAACACTTTCCTCTAAGATTGTGAGTTCAACACTGAAGGTGAAATGACAATGAACTTTTGGTGCTTCCATAAGCAGAGGCAAAGGGCAACTGCTGAGTGAGATGTTATATAGCCCAGCCTTACCAGAGTTTGATTTAAAAGTGTGATCTTCACAGCGTTAGCCAACAATGTCATGGTCACTCCTTACGTCATTCCCTGGGGGAAAAACAACCCTAAATTACCTAAACATTATCAACTTAGCTAAGTCCAAATAAATATTTATTGGCAACCTAAACAGCCCCATTGCCAAGTCAGTGCTGACAGGGGCAAAGAAAGTACCATATGCAGTTTTTCTTCATGTCCCCATAATTATCTGTTCAGAATTTTAGAAAGGGGCAAACAGTTACTGGGTGTTGGGGGAAGGGATTGCATATTATGTGGGATGCAAGTCTCAAACTTTTTTCCTCGGGAATATGTTTCTTGGAGATTACTTTAAGTTCAGTACCCTTCTATCTTGAGCCCTGCAGCCTGCCCCTCTAAGCAAAATGCCTGTATTGAAGTAAACAAAATGCTTTCCAGGTCATCACTAATTTTAACACTTCGACTTAGAATGGATGCAAGACAACCTCCCTGCTGAATGGATAATTCAAGCAAAAGATTCTTGAGAGGCAAACATTGCCCAGACTAGTAGGCAGCCAGGTAAAGTGAGTGTCCAGGGAAAGGGCAGTAAGGATCAGAAGGAAAAGGGGCAGGTATTCCCCTGGCTCCTGACTTCATTACGACTATCTGTCCCTACCATCTCTCTTCTGCCTTTTTTTTTTTTTTTTTCAAAAGAATCGGAAGGGAGGAAGTAGGAACCACATAGCAACAGCTTGATCGGGAATGAATTCCTTTATAATATACTCGCTTGGAAATCTGAAGCCTTTGGGGCTAGGCAGCACTGCCGCATAGCATAAGAGCAGGCCAGGGCAGTAGGGGGCACTGCATGGACCCCTAAGCAAATCCACACCTGCTTATTATACTTAATCTTGCCGCTGATACCCAGAAGGTCTACGCTTAGCAACAAGGGAGGGAGGAGTTTATCACACTTCGTACTTAAGCACAAAGCGCTTTGGAATGGTTATATTTGGGTATATGTTGTCATTAAGGGTAGGATATTATTTAGAAGCTGAATTGTGCACTGAACAAAAGTTTCTTTAAAAACCAAAGCTGTCACTTTGCTGTACAACTGAAACTAACACAACATTGTAAATCAACTATACTCCAATAAAAATTTTAAAAAACCAAAGCTGTTAGAGGAGATCTGTTTGATAGTCACCATGTGACCAAATCGTGGGCAAGAAAGTAAGAGTAGAGCCCCTAAGCTGGTGCTGGCTTCTGATTGTATTGAGTTTACTCTTGCTAAGGAAAGTGATCGCTTATCAACCACTCCCTTCAGCTTAACTGGCTTGTTTCCTGGCTGTTCCTTGGTGGAACCATCTCCCCTTGCATCTCTTCCCTCACTTCTCTCCTCCCTCCCTTATGTATGACTTGTCTCCCCACCTGCACACATGGATTGGAACAAGTGAAGGTCTCTTGCTGTTTCCTGTTTCATAGAAGGGCATGTCTAGTGAGGCCTGCGGTGGACAAGTTCTAATGTTAGTTCTAAACTAGGCACCTACATGGGCAGAACTTTTTTTAAAGCTGCTGAGGCCTTTGTATAACAGATATCAACAGGACTGACAACTATGGATGGGTTTTATCTACTTATTAATAGAACTAAATTCCAGGGCACCATTTAGAAATTGTTGTGCTATAAAATTTTTGTACTTTACTTAAGAAGCAGTGTAGCATAATGGTTAAAAGCATGGCCTCTGGGACTAGATTTCCTCTGTATACCTCAGTTTCCTTACTTATAACATGGAGATAATATTTCTACCTCATGGGGTTGCTGAGAGGATTAAATGATTTAATGTTATTAAATGATTGACTCTAAAATGCTTTGAATTGTACTGGACACTTAGTAAGTACTCAGTATGTTAACTATCATCATTGTCATCATCACAGATGTTGTTTACAAGCATGTGCCTTTGAGATTTGTTTAGTTTGTTCGTTGATCAGCTGCATAGTAGAACAATGCCAAGGCTTTCAGTCAAATTCTGAAATTCTGGTTTTGCCTTTTACTAGTTTTGAAAGTTTGAGTAAATTAATATGTCTGAGTTTTAGTATTCTTATCTGTAAATTGGGGGAAAAAAGATTTTTTTCTTGGCGTTGATACACACACACACACACACACACACACACACACACACATGCATTTAACACAGTTGTAGAAATTATTATCATGAAGATTACAATTTAGTTCCTGGGTAGCTATAAGGTAATGGTTAGAGTATCTTTAAAGTCTGTATGCCGTGGCCTCTTGAAATGTACTCTGAAATTTTTTTTAATGGAAAAGAAAACAGAACATAATTCTTAATATCTTCAACCCTTCAAGAAATCTTTGTAGAGATCTGTAAAATCTCAAAGCAATTTAAAGGTAACAAGACATTTAATAATGAATTAAAATGTAGCTATATTAATAATAGCCCTTTGTATTTCTATATTATCTTTTTCTGAAGAGTAGAGAGTGTCTTAGAAACCCTATTCCACTACTCTCTTAACATGCCCAGGTGACTGTCATCTCCAGTCAAAGAAACGTAGAGAAGGAAATAGATCACCCCAGCTAAAAGCTGATGAGAACGCGCCAAATGACAAGACCAGAAGGCTACAGACCTTAAAGTCAGAAGAAAGTTTCCTCCCCTTGCCCCGTTTCTCCCTAAATGCATCAAAACACAGCCTCTTACATCTAGAGCAATGTCTTAAGCTTTTTTCCCCCCAAGTTGTAATATCCTTTTTTTTGTTGTTAGGTGATGTCCTAAAAGTCCTATGCTTTGATACAAGAGGAAGGTAGATGAAGAGATAATGAAGGAAACAAATTCAATGTATTTTCCAAGAACACATTTCTTTTAAACAACTCCTAAAGGGGTAGTGTAAAACCTTGTAATAGATTGTCTTCCTCTACCTGATATGTCTGGGGTGGGGTGCGGGGTGATGCGTGGATGTAGAAGTGTACTGTGAACATTGCAACATCCTGCAGTAGAGGGCAGCGCTGCCCTTCTTTTGCAAAATGTTGAGCACTCAACGAGAAGGAAAATGAAAGCAAAGCTCTTGACCACTGTGTCTGTGCGTTTACTTTTACCTAATACTTAAAAAACAAAAAATTAGAGTATTTTTCTTGTTTAGGTGATTATGTAGAAAGAACGTCAGATCCTGTATTGCCCTGAAGTAATTGGTGAAAAACGCAGGTTTTAGGATATGGGCTCTGTTCAGGATATGGGTTGTGTCTGGCAGAGATAAACAGTAGCTTGACCCTAGGTAATCAGATAGGGTTATTGTATGAACAGACCTAATGCTCCTCTGCACTTTCTGGGGAGAAGTCACCACTGAACTAGCAGGATGTGGTTTTAAAAATGTGTGTAAGTCATATGGTCTTAGCCCTGATAACTGCTTTTTTTTTTTTTTTTTT